AAGCTTCATCCAGCAACTGATAGGAGCAGATGCAGAGACCCATAGCCAAACATTAGGCAGAGCTCAGGGAATCCTGCAGAAGAGGGGGAAGAGAATTATAGGACCCAAATCCAATCTTTAAGAGTTGAGATGAAAAATGGCTACAAGTGCTTAGTAATGGCCATTCACCAATAGGATAGTCACAAAAGACTTGTCACAGGTAAAAGTTATGAAGAAAAGCAAAAATGGAGCTCCTGGTGTATATCAGATCATATGCCCCATGCCATTGGTCAGACATTTTGCTTCTGATATATGAGAAAAGGAAAGGGAGGAAATATTTACTGTAGATTCCCATTTCAGCAACTTTAGTCTGTAGCTAGCCAGCTCAATTGCTGCAGGCCTGAAGCAAAGCTGAGCATGGTACACAAAGGGAAGAGGACAAGCTCTGTCCTTCAAGCCTTACCCCCAAGTGACAAATCCCAACTAGGCCCCACCCTTCACAGTTCTAACACCTCCCAATAGTACAGTCAAAATTTTTATCCACTGATGGTTTAACCATTTATGTTACAATTATGTCCTCAGAAACCCATCTCATAATAATAAGAATAATAATGATAATAATAATAATTATTAATTACAATTTATTCACTTTGTATCCCAGCTGTATCCCCCTCCCTCATCTCCTCCCAGTCCCACCCTCTCTCTTTCTTCCCTCCCTATGTCCCTCTTCTAGTCCATTGATAGGGGAGGTCCTCCTACCCTACTATCTGCCCTAGCATATCAGGTCTCATCAGGACTGTCTGAATCCTCTTTTTCTGTGGCCTAGTGAGGTTACCTCTCCAGGGGGAGGTGATCAAAGAGCAGGCAACTGAGTTCATGTTCTGTGACTGCCCCTGCTCCCCTTACTAGGGAACCCCACCTAGACTGAGCTGCCCATGGGCTACATCTAAGTATGGGGTCTAGGTCCTCTCTATGCATGGTCCTTGGTTGATTCATCAGTCTCTGCAGGACCCCCCTGGGCCCAGTTTTTTGGCTCTGTTGGTCTCCTTATGGAGATCTTTGTTCCCTCCAGGTCTTTCTATCTCCCCCTTCTTCCATAAGATTCCCTGCACTCTGCCCAAAGTTTAGCTATGAGTCTTAGCATCTGCTCAATATCCTTAGTCATCCAGGAAATGCAAATCAAAACGACCATGAGATTCCACCTCACACCCATCAGAATGGCTAAAATAAAAAACTCAAGGGGCGACAAATACTGGAGAGGTTGTGGAAAAGGGGGAACCCTCCATTGCTGGTGGGAATGTAAACTTGTACAATTTATACAACACGTTGGAAATCAATCTGGTGCTTTCTCAGACAATTAGGAAAAATGCTACCTCAAGATCCACTCCTGGGCATACACCTGAAAGATGCTCTATCATACAACAAGAACATTTGCTCAACTCTGTTCATAGCAGCTTTATTCATAATAGCCAGAATCTGGAAACAACCTAGATGTCCCTCAACCAAAAAATGGATACAGAAATTGTGGTATATTTACACAATGGAATACTAGCCAGCAGTTAAAAACAAGGAAATCATGAAATTTGCAGGCAAATGGATGGAACTAGAAAAGATCATCTCAAGTGAGGTAACCCAGAGCAGAAAGACATGGTATATACTCACTTATAAGTGGATATTAGCCATACAATATATAGGATAAACACAATAAAATCTATAGTCCTAAAGAAGCTAAACAACAAGGAGGACCCCAGGGAAGAGGCTTAATACTCATTCAGAGGGGCAAACAGGATGGACATCAGAAGTAGGAGAAAACAAGGAACAGGACAAAAGCCTTCCACAGAGGGCCTCTGAAAGACTCTGCCCAGCAGGGTGTCAGGGACCTTTCATGAGCATATAAAACTATATATTCTACGAAGTACTTCTAAAGGTTCTAAATACAGAGTCTCATCCTACAAGAGAAAAATCACCTAAGAATATTTCATCATAATGCTATGTCAGCCTCTCTTCACACTGGCTACTATGATACTTTAGACAACTCACTGAGCCTTGATCTATCATTAACAAGTGGATAATTCCTGTGCTTCACACAGGATGTTCTGAGAGACTGAGCAGATAGATACAAGGTGCTGTCGTTACTAAATCAAATGCGATAAGCACATGTAAAACTGTCACAGAGACCTCAGCAGGGTCTCAAACTGTGAGTGGAATCTGAATCGAATTAGCATTATTTTTAAAAACTCCCTGAGCATTATCATCTCAAAGTGATATATAAGTATCAAAAATGAATACATTTATTTCAGAGGATGCGAAACCCAAGGTCTACAGAAACATCATCATTCCTTCTTGCTCATTTCTGTAAGCCCAGAACCTAGTACCCTGTCTGGCAGATAACAGATGCTGAATAAATATTTATTAAATGAATGAATGAATACTTCTCTCCCAGTCCCCCTCTGGTAATATCATTTGCAAAAGCTCCTTATCTTTGCTTTCAAGATATATAAGGAATTCACCAAGGGAGCTGAATGAAATTTACTTTCCCTCTTTAGGGAAGGTATTTTATTTATATATAAGAGGGTTAATAGTGTATATCTAAATTAAAATTTAATAGACCTTTGGTATAAACAGAAGTGTCCATTAGTCAGTGTTTCTAAGTTCTATAACAGGCACACTCTTAATCACAACTTAGTACCTAGTGTAGGGGAGGTAGATCCCAGAGGATCCTGAAACAGTAAAGCAAAAGCCTTGTCCCCTTTGAAGGTTTGTGTCTCTGTGTCAGTGATAGAGGCCTGCAACACTCAAGTGATAATGATAATGGTGATGACAAGAACTTCAGAAATAAACACCAGCACATGGTGACAGGTTTTATAGTATGAAATTACATTAATATTGATTAGTGAACAAGTGGCCAACTTTACTATGCATATAGTCTTACCACATGTGGCTATTTTAAAATGTTTTATTAACCTCCTTACTTTATAAACCCTGATGTTTAGGAAGCTTGAATCTAAGCCTAAACCTCTGACCTTAGGTGGGCCTGTCGACCTATACATAGTGAACCTGTTTAGCTGCCTTTCTGTCACTGTTATCAAAACACCAGATAGAGAAACAGTGTAGGGGAGGAAAGACATATCTTATCCCAGTTTTAGAGGGCTCAGAAGTTTCTCAGCCCCATTCACTTGGGCAGAAGCTTTTGGTGGGTTCATATGGAAGAGGAGTTTCTTTACCTCCTGGTGGACAAGAAGAGAGATACACATAGGGACCTAGGGAAGACAGAACTCTCAACAACCTCCAGCAAGTTGCTTCTTCCAATTGTACTCACTACCTGAAGTTCCCAGAACCCCCAAAACATCACCACTTTTCAGAGCATGAACACTTCACATACCAAACCACAGTAGCCTTGTTTCTGTTAGCTGCTTCTCCCAATGCCTAGCACATCCTTGTTTCCATTTAGAACCAAGACTCTTCTCTCTTCCAGGGCAGAGAAAATCTGGGCATGCTCACTGCCTGTGCACTGTTCAGAAGGTCCACATTTCTGCCATACTCAAGAGGACAATGAGCATGGGGACAGGAAAGCCTTCCTGTCCCTGCTAAGAAAGACCAGAAGATTCCCTATGCAAAGGAGTACCCCTTGCCATGGCAGAATCAAAGCTCCTCCCATTTCAGCTGTCACCTCACTTTCTTTAGAATAAGTATTCCCTTGCAAGGTTGCCCTCCTTTCTCCATGGCATTATAAGGTATAGCTGATAGATAGATAACTGTAGGTGTTTAAGGTGGACACTGTAATATTTTAATGTATATGTACACTGTAAAGTGATTACCACAAGTTGGATAACACACTCATCATCTAATCTGGCTGCCTTCTTTGTGAGAGACTACTTCTTTATGCCAGACTTGAGGCACACAGTGTCATCAGCTACAGTCACCATTCCATAAAGTAGCAACAGCATTTTTATTTTTATTCAATTTGAAGCTTTTTACTAAGGAATCATCATCATCATCATCATTTGGTCTTTCTGTGTGTAGACAGGGTTTCTCTGTGTAGTCCTGGCTGTCCTGGAACTTACTCGGTAGACCAAGCTGGCCCCAAACTCAGAGATCTGACTGCCTCTGCCTTCCAAGTGCTGGGATTAAAGGTGTGGCTAGACACAGGTGAAAAGACAGACCAGCCTGAGAATGAGAAGGAGCCAAACATTAAAACATATTGCTAGAATTAGTTTGAGGTCAGGCAGAGCAATTCAGTCAGAAGTATGAGAAGCCAGTTTGAATCAATCAGCTTGTAGAGTCGTTTAGGCCAGAACAGCTGAGTTGAGCCAGCCAGTGAAAGTTCAGAAAGAGCTAGAAAGAAATGCTTGGAAATGGCCTTCATCTCATCCCCTCATCTGAGGAAATGAAGCCAACATTTCCAGGGAAGGGTAATAGCAAAATACATTGTTATAGGCATGTAATCTCGAGAAGTTACTCATTTTTAATTGGGAGTCTGTGCCCTTTAACCAGCATCCCCTTATTTCTCCTACCTCCTTGATCCCAGGGAGATATTTTTAGATCTTAAAGGAAGGTAAAACCATGTATCCTTGTCTTTCTGTGCCTAGCTTATTTCATTTGCCATAGTGTCCTTCAGGTTCACCGTGCTATCATAAATGATTTCCTTTTCAATAGCTTACTAACATTCCATTTTGTGTGTTTGCATCTCTATGTGTAAAAACCACAATTTCTTTGTTAACAATTGAAAAGTTGTCTCAAAAGCTTGGCTACTATGAATAATGCTGTTATGAACATAGAAGTGTGTATATCTTCATGATAATGGCTTTATTTTCTTTGGGTACATACCCATTCATGGAATTGCTGGGTCATATGACAGTTCCATTATATATTCTCTAAAAATAGATATATATTTAGAGAGAGATATCATAATCAGCTTTCTGAAAATAATTATTTGGAAGAAAACAAAATACAATGCAGTTTGGGAATCACAAAAGAAGCTGCCTAACTCCACCCCCTCAATCACAGAGTAGTATCCCAAACACAGATTGAAAAGATGAAGTATTTGGCAAAGGGGCTGCAGAATCACAAGTAGGTCAGCTCATCATGTTTTTCTTTGTTGGTCTGGTAGGAAGACAAGGTCAAAGGCTTGTTTTCATGAGGGAGGGCTTCGAATACCCTCAGGTGCACGTATTTATCATCACCAACATCAACCTTGATGAAGATGTTGAGGCCGGCCACTATCTGTTTCTTGAAGGATACAGCTTTAAACAAATCAAACTTCTGATTTTCTTTCTCTTCAAGCTGGGTCTTCACCTTGTGGGCGATCTCCTGCGACTCGGCCATGGCCAGCATCATGGCAGATGGCGTACCACACATCATCTTGGCTACAGTGGGCTGGATGGTACTGACAGAGGAACTCTACAGTTCTGTGTTGGTTTTTTTTTTAACTTATTTCTAAAGATCTGTTTATTTTTATTTTATTATTTTTTATTTATTTCTAATGATTTTTTATTTTTATTTGATGTTTGTGTTTTGCCTGCATGTGTATATGTATACCATGTGTGTGCCTGGTACCCACAGAGGCCAGAAGTTCCCTGGAACTGGAGTTACAGTTATAAGCCACAATGTGGTGCTGGCAACTGAACCCAGGTCCTCTAAAAGAGCAGCCAGCGTTCTTAACTACTGAGCCATCTCTCCACTCCCTCTGTTCTTTTTCCTTCTTAGGAGCCTCTGTACTATTTTCCATGCTGGATATAGTAATTATAGTAGTAATATAGCAATCTCTCTAGGAAGCCTTGGCTGGCCTGGAACCTGCTATGTAAACCATGCTTGTCTGGAAGTAACAGAAATTCACCTGCCTTTGTTTCCTGAGTTCTGGGATTAAAGGTGTTTGCTGCCATACCCAGCCCTACTATCTATTCTGTGTTGCTATTTAAAAAAAAAAAAAAAAAACCACCACCAACAAAACAAACAACAACAACAACAACAAAAAACCCTGAGGTTGAGTAACTTACAAAAATTTACTTAGTCAACAGTGCTAGAAGCTCGGGAGCTAAACTGGCACTTAGCCTGTGAAGGTCTCGTGGTGGATGGCATCTCAATGCCAAAAGCACCCCCAGATACACATGCATTCTCTTCCTACCTCCCACAACTATCTTTATTTCAACTTGCCTTTCTTTCTTCCTTCCTTCCTTCCTTTCTATTACCTGTTAATATACACCTTTCCTTCCCTCAAAATACGTCTCAAAATTCAATTCCATATGGAAATCTACATTAGTTAAAAATTCCCCTTCAAATGGTAAAACAGGAAGCAAAAGAGCCAGAGAGATGGCTCAGCAGGTAAAGATGCTTGCTGTACAAGTCTGGCAGCCTGTTTGGACCCAGGAACCCACAAAAAGATGGAAAGAGAGAACCAACTAACCATTTCTATAAAGCTGTCCTCTGACTTCCACATGCATGCTGTGGCTCACATGCCATATATAAAAAATACTTAGTGTTCATATATATGTATATATAGATCATGTGTGCGCATATATGTGTGCACGAACACACACATGTAATAATGATAACAACAGATTTTTTTAAAGAAGAGATTGAGAAGGAATGCCAGACTCCCGAATTACCTGCCCTCTACAGAACTCAACCTTTGTAGTATGTAAGACCAGTATTCATCTATTCATGAGGATGGTTCACCCATTGACTACTTATCTCCCACTAGAACATGACCCTTAAATTCCATCACACTAGGGACCAAGCATCCAGCACATGGACCTGTGTATGGAGACAAAGGAATGAATGGACCGCTCCCTTACTATGGCAATAGCTAGTCTAACCGGTGCAAGGAAGGATCTCACAGTTTCATTGTGCATTGTGTTAGTTGAACATATTTCATATGTCTACTGGCCCTGTGTGTGTCTTCTTTACAAAAGAAGTTCCCTACCCATTTTTAAGTCAGGTTGTCCATTGCTGTTCAATGAGCTCTGCAAAACTGTCCTTAACACTCAAACTTTATTTTTTATTTTTTCTGTACCATAATGTTGGAGTGATGACACACAGGATAATCTACCTCAGGTCGTATCTATTTTTTCAAACAGCGTGAACCATTTCCTCCTGCAATAAATATGGCACTATTTGTGGGTTTTATTTACATATCCATAGGACTCTCTAAAGCACACAGGATTGGTGACTCCGTCCTCAAAAACTGTATTCTCGCCCTACCTCACAATCTACCTTCATCCCAACTTACCTTTCATTTCTTGTTTGTTAATATGCTAAGTTTTAATTCCCTTCCTTTAAAATTTGACTGTTCATGGAAACCTACCTTAATTAATTAATTCTCTTTTAGCTGCTGCTTGATCCTCTAGTGTCTTAGAGATGAGGTGTAGTACCAATGGTCAGAATAAGTATTCTAATAACCACTGTAAATTATTATCCCTAATTTACAAATGAGGGAACTGAGGCTACCATGCCATATCCAGGATCAGACAAGTAGGGAGTGGCTAATTCAGGATTCCCACCATGCCTTTTGTGACTACGGAGACAGAGAGCTTTCCTAGCAAACACTGTGGCTCTACACAGGCTTGATGATGACTGTGTAAGCACCATGGCCCCCAAACACACACCACAGAAAATGTCTGTTCTCTTGCATTTCCTCAATATGCTTGTTGAATTGAGTTGAACAGCTTAAATCCAGAAAAACACATCTCCTATTTTTGTTAATATATTCCATCCTTGTGCTCGGCACATAAGGTAATCGTTAAATGTTAATGACTAAGAGAAATGGAATAAAATCAGTGTTGTGGTAGCCATTTTTAAGCTTTAAGAGTTTAAATGTGCAGCCCATGCACGCTACCACAGCTGGGAGCACCATATTGCCATTAAGCCAGAAGGTGGATTCATGGGATGGGAACATTGAAAACAGACACCCACAAGAATGGTTAAGTCAGTTTCCCAAGCCACTTTCTAAAGTAGCTGCTGCTCCCCCGCCCATAATAATTTCACAATGATTAGCCAGCCTGCTAGGTGAGAAATCCTAGGAAAATCATGTAAGAAGGGTTTAGAGCAACTGCTCAAGTATTAGGTCAAAATGGAGGTGACTCAAGTGTTACGGCAAATGGTAGAGCCACAACAGGAAGGCTCATTCCCCTTCAGCTGGTCAAAACATAAAAGTGCTGCAGTTGGTGTTTGCAGCATGCGCTTTATCATTGTTCTTAGAGGAGGGGATGCAGCCCACACTCTGGTACGCAAGGGTATCTGAGCATTATTGCGTGCGAATGCTGTCTTGTGTTACCCGTGTCTGTTCCTTTGCTTTCTTTGTTCATAGTACAAAATTTCCTGGTTTTTTTCCAAGTCTTTACTGTGTAGCTTTTTAACTTAATTAAATATATAGGCAATTACTGACACCATCTGTCTTTGCAGAAAAAGAACAAGAAGTGGCACAAGAGCCTGGAATTCTGAAGGGGCTCCTTTAACAAAATCTTGTAGCTTTATTAGCAGTATTTGTTTTTACGAGCCCTTCAGTTATTTTGCATTATTTATGTTTTTCTAGTAATAACTAATTTGAGCTAACTTAAAATGTGGCAGCACTGGTATGGTGTTTTAAAAATAAAATATCAGGTAGCCCGTGACTTTCCGGGAAGCAGCCATGTGAACATGTGGTTGGACATCTGTTGCTGGTACGGCTATCACAGCACTTAGACCCTTTATAAAATTACATGAGTCTTTTGCATAAATAGAAATGTTTTAACAATATGTATATTCCTTTCAACATATACTTCACTTTCTTAAACATAAGATTTACTGTACTGCCTGTTGGATCCAAATCCTTATGAGCAAATAAAGAGTCCCTTCCTGGGAAGCCGATCTGCCCATCATGTCACAGGCCTAGCTGACCTGGAGGATATACTTAACAGAGGCCTGCTTTTTAACCTCTCTAAGTTTCTGTACCAATTTCTAAGTACATAAATGATATTAAGCCAACCACCGAAGTCTGTTCTGCCATAATAAGGAACCTTTAAAAAAACAAACCCAAACATATCAATGAAATCCATCCCCTCTTTAAGGAAGGCACAGGAAGGCAGAATGATGCAGAAAGCTGAGCTCGCCTAAGGCTAGCAGCTACCTCCAGGGCAGACAACTGAACCCTTCCCTACACATGAGAGAAGCACGTGCTGACTCTTAGCACTGCACCGGAACCCTACCCTCTGCGACAGCTACAGGCAGAACATGAAGTCATTTCTAAGGATCAAGAAACAGACAGTTTTCAAACAAATAACAATGTGAAACTTCTAGTCACACTAGAGACTTAGAATATATGAGAGAATATGCCACCTTGAGCTTTTGGGGGAAAACATCAATGGATGAAGGAAATATGAAAAAAAAAAAGGAATTTCACAATTGCTTTCTATGTAAAACAACTAGTGGGCAAAAACAGTTAAAACTCAGACTTGATACTTAGCTGCCGTAATTGAGAGCCTTCTGGTGTATTCTCCTCAGATGAAATAACACATTAAGAGACAGTGCAGTGAATCGGTAGAAGAGTAGTAGAGAAAAAAATAGGGTAGAAAAGAGGAAGGGTGGAAAATCCCTTCCTCTGGTTAGTTCTGTTTGTTCAGGGATCAATGGTTCCAGAGAGGCAGTCAGTTAAAAGCAGCCTCTGGCAGCCAGAGGCTTAACATGCAGCAGAACCCAGGAAAGGCAGGTGGAAAAGAAAGACTCAAACACACTAACTCAGGTGAAACGCCAAGGTGACTTTTAGTCAGTGGTGGATCTACTGGAATGTTTTCCAGTTTCACCCACACATTTCTGGAAAGAGCTTCAGGAGTTACTGATCTGAGGCAGGAGCCTCGGACAGCATCCTCTGTCCTTACCATTTCTGGAAAAATACATTCCCAAAGTGCTTTACAGATAAATGGTGAGAAAGTGAGACAGAAGGGTGTTAAGTGACTCCCCTACACTACAGTAAACTGGGGACCCTCTGGCTGTGGCGCTATGCAGTAATTAGTGGAGCTTCCTGACATGACTTCTCTAAGCTCTGTCATCACCAGGATCAAGCAGAGCAGAGAAAGCCTGGGCTCTGGCTGTTTCACCCAGCCCTGCCTTAGCTGGGAGCTGAGAGCACCCTTTCCAGAATCGTTGAGCCTCCATTTCCACTCATATTGGACACATATTTGACATCAACTTCACACGGCTGCTGTGAGGATGAGAAAGTGCCATGGTGCCTTTCAGTGAACAGCCCTCAGTCTACAGCCACTTCCTTTTTTCTTTCCGTTCCCGTATTTCCTTGCTGCTGCAGTCTGTCCTCCATGAGATTAAATAGAAAGTTTCCTAAATACCAGAGCCATTAAAAAAAAGAGAGAGACATAGTGTCTTGATAGGAT